TTCCATAGTAAAATCATGTATAAATTTTTATGAACATTCACGCGCTTGTTTTAATGTTATAGTACTTTAAAATTAACATGTGTTCTTATGGAGATTAGCAAAATACATTGTCAGGTTCATTGATTAAAAAAATGTAGAAAAAATAGTGTCAAGCTTCTGAAACTTTTTATGCTGATGAATAATTATATAAGGAACATAATGCATCGAAAATACTGAATTTTTACTAAATGAAAAAAGAGATCTTTATTAAAGTACTGATTTAAACAATAACATAAATGCTCGAGTTTTTGGTTCATCCTAACATTTATATAAATCATAATTCTTGAGCGGAAGTACTAAATATTTTGTCGTGAGAGGAATGATCGAAATTGATCTGATCGAATCGTACTTCAAATTCTATTTCTATTAATGTGCATTTCTAGATGACTTCTGACGAGCTCCTGAGAATCTCTGCCTGATTCGAGCCTGTCTTCTGAACCGGTCTGTATACGTGGTGAACGGTAAAAATTCTAAGCATGAATCAACAAGGGAGAAACTCAGGGAACGGTACCAGGACAAGAATGGTCCTGGCGATCGATGCCCAGGTTCCGTCCGTCCGAAGGAGCGAACGGGACACCGCGCGGCGGGTCCGTATCCTTCTAAGCGTTCTCGTCTGACGCGTGCAAGGATATGTAGGTGGTTAGTCGAGCGGCTGACGGTGTATCAGGAGAGCAGACAGGTAGAAAGGGAAACGGGGGACAAAGCGAAACGGAGCAGCGGGCGCGAGAGTTCCCGGCGAAGGAGGCGAGGAGAGGAGCCGAGCGATGGGCGCGGGACAAGGTGCCGAACGAGAGGAGAAAGAGGGTAAGAGAGGGGAATGGTGGGGTCGGTACGAGCGGCTGAACCACCACGTGGTACCCTGGCTCCGTGTGTCTGGTTCAGTAGTGCTCTCTCGGTCGGCTTCGAACGATTTCGCGCCGGATGTCCAACGGGCCTGTTCAACGCGCTCCGAGCCCCGCGTCGTCGTCGTCGTCGTCGTCGTCCGAAACACCAGCGTCTGCGATCGACGATGTGACCGCGTGACCATCGCCCGGGACACTGAAACCTCGTCAGAGTCTTAACGGCCGATCCTACGATGGCACCCGCGCCGAGGATTGTTCTCGCGTGCTCCCTTCTAGTTCTGTCGATCGGACGCGCCTCCACCGGCGAGCATCGTTCGGAGTTCGCCGGCCGCGGCGGGCTCGCCCTGCCTCTCTGGTTCCACGAGAAGCTCGCCCGTACGCGTCACGACGGCAGGGACGTCGTCGACGATCGGAGTCGGGACGATCTCACCGTCGGATCCAGTACGACCGTGGCACCGCACGTTCCTGGACTGGCCAGACGACACGTGGACCAGCAGCGCGTCCACGAGCAACGAGCTTCGAGATCGGAGAAATTCAGCGCGGTAGCCGTCGCGGAGTATTCCGGGACCAGGGCCATCGCCTACGCTGGTTTTCATAATAATCATCGTCATCAACCTAGCGACGCGGCCACGCAAAGCTACCATCATCATACAACAACTCCGGCTACTTACACCAGGCACCATCCTGGGTGAGTAGGCAACTTTCTTCAGTCTTGATACGAACCTTCGATAAGCCCACGAATCGACTCTCGTATCTGAGCTTCCTATTTAATATATTTATTAACGACGCATCCGCCATTTTTCTATTTTGCAAATTTTTTTATTATTGGAGACTAGATTATGGATTTTTGTATATAATAATATATTTACACCAAAACCTCACTTTGCGTCGTGGTTACGTTCCAAAAAAACACGACGCAAATTGAAACGACGCAAAGTGAATTAAGATTTCCTATAGCAAACCATGTAAAGATCGAAGATAGGTTCCAGGGTTACGAAAATACTACTTTTTAAAAATTAAAACTTTGAAAGAATTGAACAAAGTACATACATTACAACAC